CCTCCCAATTTGATTCATAAAGACAGTATTAATCATCCGTTGGAACGTAGCCGACGCATTTTTCAAGCCAAACGGCATCACCGTGTAACAGAATAGCCCCTGATCAGTGACGAAGGCCGTCTTTTCTTGATCTTTCTTCCACAGGGGTATCTGATGGAAGCCGGAGTAGGCATCCATAAAACTCATCAAGGCATGCCCGGCTGTTGAATCGACCAGACTGTCGATCTTAGGAAGCGGATAACTGTCCTTGGGACATGCCTTGTTGAGATCTATGTAATCAACACACATCCGCCAGGTACCATTCGGCTTCTTTACAAGCACAACATTCGCCACCTAGTCGGGGAAATTACATGGCCGAATGAACCCAGCATCCAACAGCTTTTTAACTTCGGCAGCTGCCGCCTGACTTCTTTCCTCGCCGTGATTTCTTTTCTTTTGCCGGATGGGCTTCTTTTTAGGGTCCACGGTGAGTTTGTGGACAGCAAGATCCGGGCTGACGCCTGGCATCTCTTCCACTTCAAAGGCAAAAATGTCTTTGAATTCTTTTAGCAGGTGCAAGTCTGCACCTAACTTAGCAAAGACAACCGTCCCAACCTTCACGGTACGCTCTGGGCGGCTGTCGTCCAGAGGTATGTCAATATGCTCACCAGCCGGTTGGGGACGGAGCTCATCTGACCGTTCACCGGTCAGTGATTGCTATTTTTTCTCCTTCTTCACCTCCACCAGCATAGGTGCCTTTCTTTTCTTTCCGGCTGCTGGTGGGGCTGGGTCAGCATCCTTGACATTGTCAAGGTCTATTGGTTCCTGGACGCCTGGGTTACAGTGTCTCTAACGGCTGAGAGATAGCACTCTCGGGCCGTCTTCTGATCCCCATTCAGGGAACCCACAGTGCCGTCATCCCTCTCATACTTGATGAGCATGAGGGACAGGATGATTATTGCCTTGGCTACATTGAGGGTTGGCCGGCCAAGGATAATGTTGTAGGCGGTCAACTCCTCAACGACCAAGAATCTGACGACAATATGTCGTCCATGGCCCTTCTCTCCCAGCGGATGGGTAAGTCAAGGTAGACCATCCCACCCCCAAAACCAACCAAGGGGTGGGTGACCGGATGCATGCTGCTGACATTGTATTTCAGCTTTTGCAAGCACTGGAGGCTGATGATGTCTGATGAGCTACCGGTGTCAATAAGGATTCTTCCAACCAGTTGGTTGGCAACCTTACATTCAATGACGACCGGGTCATCATGCGGACGGCGGCCGCTGCCCCTGTCATTCTCAGTGATCAAGACGTCTGGGAAGGAGGTGCTTGCAGACGCCTGCTCATCATCATCCTTGTCCATCTTTCGAAGATGGCTCTTGGTGCCCCGGATGGTAGGGCCACCACAGGAGAACCCGCCTGCTATTGTGTAGACCGGCTCCTTGTCGGTATCCGAGCTACTAGCAGGCTCGGGGGTAGTCTTAGAGGACTGACCCTTATTCTTCTTCTTTGCCCCGGCTAGGGATTTAGAAATATAGGACTTCAGCATTCCTCGATCCAACGCCCTTTGAAGGCTGAAACAGTCGTTGGTGACATGGCCAACTTCCTCATGGAATTGACAAAATTATTTTTGTTCCTTGATTGAATGGAACTTTTCATTGGATTCGGCTTCTCTAGGGACTGTCGGTCCTTAATTTCCATGAGGATGGAATTGCAGTCCTTGTTACACTCGTACTTGGGGACGTATGGTTTAAACTCTTTCTTCTTCTTCTGGACGGCTGGTCAGAATCACTAACCGCCCAGATTTATTTTCTCTTTTTGCTCTCTTCTTTCTTTTCAGCCGGCTAAGCAGGCGGTTGTCTTTCTGCTTGTCGGACTTCTGGCTACTAGGCGAGCAGAGGTCGGTAGCTTGAATGTAGCTTTCCGCCTCCCTCAGGGCCGCCTGTATGGTGAAAGCCCCTTTTCTGACTAGGTCGAACTTAAAGGTCGACCCGTCTCTCAGACCCTTGAAAAAGTCTGTAAAAGCTACCTCATCAGACAGTCCTGAATCTGAATTCTAATCAGATTGAACCGCCTGACATAGGAGCGCAGCCCTTCTCTCTCCCCCTGCTTAATGGTGCTCAAGTCCAAGCTTGTTTTCTTAGCAGGGATGTTCATTGAGAAGTTGGAAGCAAATAGGAAGACAAGCTTCCTAAAACTGTCAATGCACGCGGCCGGTTGGCTGGTTACCAAACCATTGTTGGGCGATGCCCTTCAATGTAGCCAGGAAGCAGCAACACCAAGTGGCATCATCCAACCCCTGCAGATACATGAGGTTGGTGTAAGCCATGAGATGGTCTTCCGGATTGGTGGTACCGTCATAGGTACCAACCAACACATTCTTAACCTTGGACGGCTGTGCCGCCTCGGTTATCTCCCGGGTGAACGCAGAAGGTTGTTCACCCAGGCGAAACAGACGAAGCTCCCAGTCCAGTGGTTGGACATTTTGGTATGCCGCCTAACCTCCAAAGAGGGTCGGCTGCATGAAATGAGGGGGATATTGGCCGTAGACCTGAGTAGGCACATACGGTACAGCTCCAATCATATGAGGGCCAGAATGGACGGTATTACCGCCTGTGTGGCTCTCATTCAAGGAAGATGTATTCCCTGCAAAAATGTTGTTGAAGTTATCTGGAAAGTTCGACGTTGAAGCCGACTCAGACAGCGATTGGTTTCTCTTCCGGTTGATGATCTCCTGGGCATCAAGAGATGACTTCTTACTTCTCACCGGTTGTTAAGTCCGGCGGGGGTTATTGTTATTCCCCTTAGGAAAAAGAATTTTGGAGCAATCAATGGTCCCGGCTTCCTTCTCCTTTGAATGAGGAGTGGGCTGCCGATCTTTGACTGACTTCCCCTTTTCCAGAGGAGTCTTCTTGGCCGACTGACCTCTACTTGGGCCAGCCCGGCTCTGGGTGATCAGCTCTTTAATTTCACCCTTGAAACTTGTCATGAATCTCATGAACTCGTCTTGGGTGACAGGCACTGATCCAGCTGCCGTATGGGTTTCCCCTTCCGGCTGCCGTATGGGTTTCCCCTTCCGGCTGCCGTATGGGTTTCCCCTTCCGGCTGCCGTATGGGTTTCCCCTTCCGGCTGCCCAAGGGGTCTACTTGCACCCGCCTGGGAGGCACCCCGCTCCAGAGTCTCTCTGGCCGGATGCGCTTGATTCTGAGAGAGTCGTCCTCGGCTGTAAAGGTTTCGACTTGAGGATCTTCATCCTCATGGTCTGTAAAGACTTCTGAGTCTTCGCCCAGACGGTTAGGGGGTGGTACAGACTCCTGAACCATCTTCGAGGTACTCTCCCCACAGACGGCGCCAAATGTTTTGGGTGTTTTTGTCCCTTGGGAGAGTTACGTCACGAACTCTGATCCGGCTGAGCTGTACCTGCAAAATAACGGAGACTCCGGGTGGTTGGAGCTCTGCCTCTGACGGTCAAGTTAGTAACTTGAAACGGGATAAAGAGAACGAAAATTTAGGTGGGTATCTGCTCGGATTCCAAGCTCAGGTCTTTCTCTGATGACAGGTGTAATAAATGATTGAATGTGTCCCCAAAATGGGGAAATATCTCCCTATTTATAGAGTCGTTGGAAAATGTGCCCCTACCTAGATCACTTGACCTAGATTTTAGTGGGTTGCGCCGTTTTACGGCGCTCCTAGGGATTTGGGCCCTTGAAGGCCACCATTTCAGAGGCATATCTGGGGGCGCCAAGTGTCAAGAGGATGTTGAGCCACATGGGCCATCCTGACCTCGACACGTGGCGTCCTCTCATTGGTCCACGTGTTAGGGTATAAATACCCCAAACAGAGTTTGCACTTGTGCAAATTTCTTCTTTCACCCACCTAGTTTTGCGATAAAATTGTCCTAATATTGCCCTTAAGGCCTAAATTCTAGTGAGGGTGAGAAACCATAAAGATGGGTTTAGCTTGGATTGTTGACAACATTAAAATTACCTTATCAATAGTTATGTAATACTCCTTTTGCTCCTTTTTGTTTATGTTATAAAAGGAAATGTAAAGTATAAAGGGGCACATCCAAAATAGAATACATAAACAAAAAGGAGCAAAAGGAGTATTACATAACATATGATAAGGTAATTTTTACACCCTTTTTTATATCTCTATCCATGGATGACAAAAATTTGATCCCTTGATTTGATGATGTTAAGACCACTTTACTCGAATAGCAAGATAATGTCAGCCTTAGGCGATTGGTATCCCTAGAATTTTATTATTTGGTAGTGTCACAAGAAAAGGAGTATCAATAAATTAGTAGATGTTACACAGTCACGGCCTTCACTAAAAAACTTGCCTTTTTATTACATTTGGAATATAGTGTAAATTAACAAAAGGCATTGTTAATGTATGCCAAAACCAGAAGAGCTATGTCCTTAACTTTCAATCAAAAAGTTTATGCCCACCCATTTTTTCTTTACGACAGACATCCCAAGGGAAAATCTCTTTTATTATTCGTTCAGTTTCACTAACAAAAGTTATCATAGGTTTTTTTTAAAAATAAATTGTGAAGAGAGACAATTATGAGCTGTTACAGCTCACTAATGACAATGCCAACAGCAAAAATTAATAAACTTTTACCATTTTACTCTCATGTTCAGAAGAATTACAATTCAATAACTCTGCCGTCTGCTATCAACAGACAGCAAATAGAAGGAAGAGATTAACAAGAACTCATTTCCTGTCAAGGTTATGATTATTTATAAACTGTATTGTCTCCTATTCAAGTATTTTTAGCCAATAAAGGGGCTTATAGTCTTATACACACATGCCAACCTTTATATTGAGTTGATAACAATATGCAAATGGACAGAAACATACAAAAACCAACCACTAATCATGCCAAACATAAGACTGAATTGATAGCAATATGCAGATGGACAGACACATACAACAACCAAGCACAACAGTTTAACTGCTCACACATATATGTTAAAGCTAAGGTAAAAACAGTATTCTTTATAGTACTTACTCACGATCAAAGAAATACGACACAGCCACCACCATTTCTAATATCCCGTCATTATCAATATCAGCAATGACCTGAGGTGAATTAATTGTTGAGACATCTGATTATGATAAATTACCTAAAAAATATACAGTGATTGTACTTACTGGAGTAGAGAGAATATGAGAGTCAATATCGACATAGTCTTCCACGGTCTCATGTTGTGATTCAATCCAATCTTCATCCCCCCACATGTTATCATCCACATAATCATCATAGTCATAGCTATATTCATCTGCCAGTTCATCACTACCACGAAATAATTCAAAAGAGGAATCTGCTTCTGCTTCTAGGGCATCGTCATTCTCCACTGTTGCAGTTTGAACATTTTCACTGCCGCCATCTGCTCCTTTAAAAGCAGTATCTTCCAGCAGTCGTCTCCTAGAGTTTTGCCTGTTCTCTGTCTTTATATTATCCCCCAACTCATTAGGTGACAAAGAACTGATTGCTCCATTTTCCAAAAGTGCAGTACCATTTGACCCTGCATTTTCAGAAGAATCATTCACTGTGTTCAAATGCTTTATTGTTTCTTGGCTCTCATTCAACTTGCCCTCATTCAAAGATGATGTATTCAATACATCCAAACTTGATCCAGAATCAAGGGATACATTGATGGTCTTTGGAACATCAACATCTGAATTTCCTTCATTATCATTTTTCCCATCTCTATGAGGCATAGATTCATTAATCATTACAGGACGCCCACCAGTTGATGAAATATCAGATACATTAGATCCCATCTTGGTTTTGTTTGGTTCTGCAATTGTGACCATAGATGTGTCAGTTTCAATGGTAATGTAAGGGGAAAAAAATAGAAGAAAAAAATCTATGATACCCCTTGTTGAGGTACTGTATATTCATAAATAAATATATAGATCTAATAGAACATTACTAATGTCATTACATCATGTCACCAAATTTCTGTACTGTAACCAGACAGTTAAAGACTCACCATATAGCACCACAAAGAAAATAATCATAATAGTGATAAGAAATCAGTCATAACAGTATGTGCTACCGTGTTACTAAACAAGTTGAGTGAAATTATCAGTTTTATAGGGAAACAAAATTTCTGTATAACCATACATTAAACTTCATATCATATTGATCAAGAAAATTCTAGCATGAGACAAAAATGCCACTCAATTTCCTGATGAAAATCACCTCGAAATGGTTAAATGATCACAAAAAGTATGTTACAACCCGTCTTACCATACAGCCATCTCAGAAAATTATTAAGCTATCAAGAATTTAAAAAATGACCAACACTGCAGTGGTTTATAGAGTAACATATACAAGTATATGTAGATCCATAACACAAGCACCAGCAGAAAGTTTAGAATGGATGGTAAGTGAGAGGCTTGGTGATAAAAACGAAAAAAAAAAGAGCATCAATAATATATATTATGGTGAAGTTACAGTAACTCACGCGACACTAAGTTCATTTCAGCAGCCTCCTGGATAAGCTGCTGATCATCAACATCAGGATGGGAGCGATCAACGGGATCTGGATTTAATCCCTCATACCAATTTTTAGGAACTCTTCTGCGAGGTACAATCAATTTATCCGACATCAGGTAGCCTGAAGCTCTGTAGAAAACAAACCCAAATGAGATAAAAGAATATTGCATCCTTAGATCTCCACCATAGAAAGATAACTTGTTAGAATGATGATAAAACTCACCTGAAAAAGAGCACTTCACCATTGTATGTAGCTAAGGCTATTTCTCTAATCCCATCTTTATCAATATCATAAAGAAGAGGGCTGGCATGAACAGTTGACTGATGGTAAGCAGGCCACCCTGACAAGTTAATCCAAGTAAGTAGGGTGCGTATCAGAGTAATCAGAAAGGAATACCAGATGTTTTAAACAGCAAAAACAAAATCAAAATAACTAAATAAATAAAAGGAAGATAAATAATTAAATAAATAAATATAGCTTTAAGACAACTGTATAACTATGAAAACTGTACAGTTATAATATTGAAAAGAGGATTGCAATAAGTGAAACACAAACCTGGCATTTTATCCCCATCAGATCCTTCTAACACTTCTAGGTAATGAACAAATGAAGGAACCACAATATCTAACTTCCCATCACTGCATAAGCAAATTAGAGAGAATTAGTCAAATTTATTTGCTAAAGAAACCATCCTGACGATAAAAGAGACCCATAAGTTCTAGTTGGGTCTCTAAATAGATTAGCCAAATCATACTAATTAGAAACCACATCCCCCATGAGTGATTAACCAAATTTTTTTTCCTGAAATTTACTGTCAGTTATCTATATTTATTCCTCTAAAAAGTGATTGGATATTATCTATACTAAATTCAGATTTTAGCTGTCCTTGAACTCCATTAAGGCCTTCATCTTTCCACCTAAATTAGTATGTATTTAAAGTTTAAACTTACTAATGTTAAACCAGATTGAATCTACCTAACCTTATCAAGTATTAAACTTTATTGGAAATTCGAAATTATTAGTCTTAAACTGATGTTGCTTAAGTTGAATTCAGCGCTAAAAGCTGAATCAATAAATCCTGAACTGCTCTGAATCAAATTTCTGTAAGCTTAGATACCCTACTACACCTTAAACTTGTTTTATAAAGTGGGAAAAAATAAATAAATAAAAAATAAAAAAAAGGCCTAGTTTTAACATCGGCCCCGTTTGGTTGGGTGTAAAATGTTTTCATGGATATGATTTTTCCATGTTTTCCTATTTTCTTTGTGAAGGGTTGGAAAACGATTTTTCCAATTTGAAAATACATCTTTTATGGTGGAAACATTTTTCTTTACATAACAAGAGAGACCAAATTTTCGCCCTCTCCTTTTTACTTTTCTATTATCCACACTCACCTTTCTACTCCTATTTCTAATTTCTCTATAACTTTTCTTATAAGAAACCAAACAAAGTAAAACTAATTTGCAATTGTGGTTTTCCCTTTTTCATTGAAAATGTTTTACAACACATCAAATGGGCCCTACCAACAAAATCTATTTTCGAGCATAATTCGTAAAAATACATTTAATAGAACCAAATAAGGTTCAATTTAGGGTAAACCTAGCATTCTACCTCAATATATGGATCCAAACTTTTAGTGCATAATACTAGAAAAAACAATTGCAGCTATCAATATAAAAAGAAATCATAAGATATAATTAACCTGTTTATATCTGCAATCAATGGAGCTGCATATATACTAGAACTCACTTCTGCTTGCCAGCGCAATTCCAAATTCCGGGGGTATTGTGTATTCAATAACTCATCTTCATCCCTAAAAATATAATATAATATAAATAAATGTTAAATTCAGCCATTTTCACAACACATTCAAATTAATAAGCAGATAATCGATCAACAATTCTTTAGCTTACAGGTTTGGGTAACCGGCTGAATCATCAGTGGCTTGTCTTTCCCTGAACTTGTTTGTTGATTCTTGTTGCGCAGTGACATTACTCGAACTTATTATAGCGAACAAAATCAAGAAATTCAGCAAGCAGAATATCGCTGAGAATTTCATCCCGTTTTTGTTCAACTCTCCCTCACTATTTCCTTGTGATCTCTTTGAATGTAGACTTTGAGAGGAAAAAAAAAAAATTAAAGAAAAGCGGATATTTTGAAGGTGTTCCCAAAAGAGAAAGTATTGCCCACTACTAGGCAGGGACAATGAAGGTCCATACCTCCTTTGAAAAAAAAATACTTAAAAGTGTTCACATTTATTGAAATGAACTGATTGGACATGAAATGAATATCTATGAGAGAGGGAAATTAGAAGCTCAACTGAACTGATTGGAGGTAAACTGAACTGATCTGAAATTAAGTAAATGTGAACGGGCCCTAAAGTGATGAGAAAACGTCATTTGCTATTTTTATACTGTTATTTTCTGTTTGAGCTTGTTATAATAAATTTAATATTGTTATATGTTTCTTCAATATTGTTTTCGATGTGTCATTTTGCTCTTTTCAGTAGTATTTATATATTAAAAGGCTAAGTGTTTGTATTAGAAGTAAAATGTAATATTTATATACTGTTATCGCATAAGGGAAATATATTATTAATGAAGATAATAATCTAAAATCCTTTTAAAAAAATGGGAAGTGCTACTATAGCTTATCTACAGTGCTTTGCCCAAACTGTCCCTTCCACAAAATTACGCTGTTGTGTGACCTGTTGGCCTAATGTCTACTCATGTCCTTTCTTTCTCTTGCTTTTCCTCACTACCTTTCATTTTTTCCCTATTTTATTTTCTCTTTAGCTCTGAATTCCCGTCATCTCAGTTTCACTCTCCTCCTCCTCGTCCTCCTCTCCATCAATTTTCCAGGATTTACCCATTTCATTAACTTACTGAAAATAAAATCGGAAAAGCATCAACATCTCCAGATCTTCTTCTTCATCCCAACTCGTGTTTGCGTAAATTTTCTTTCTCCTCTCATCTTCCATAGCACATAGTAGGCTTGCGACTACTTAAAGAGCCTCTTCGACAACGTAGTGTCGGAGGCTGCTGTTGATTTGTATGGGGGGCATAGGGAAGTCATTCAGAGGAAAATGTTTCAATTGATGCGAAATTTGATGACGAATTAATAGGAAAAGCTAAAAAAAAAAACCCTAAAATTTGGCGTCAGGAAGCAGCTCTTTACTTCCAAAATAGGTACTAATTATCTCTCTTCCTCTTTATTTCTTTCTTTACATTAATTAACAGGTACTCATTCTTTAATTGTCTATTGTTTAATTCAAATTCAGGCACAAGCAGGACAAAATAAACCCCAAAAAGAAAGACCTTGAATCCACTATTCTTCCTAGAAATGTGTAAGGTTCCTAAATTCTTCAATTTATTTAAGCAGTTATAATTATTGGGTATAAATGAATTTCATGTTAATTTGCTTGTTTTTATGGGTGTGAATGAGGCCTAATGTGTCATTTGCCTTATTTACCGTTTTGGGACGCTTTATCAGGTTATAGTTGATACCAATTTCATCAATTTTTCTATCCAGAACAAAGTGAGAACCTCAATTCATGGTTTTATTAGTTTTTCCTATATTTATTCAGCTGGAATTTTGCTCTACTCTTGGGTTGAGTCCAGATATATCCTTGTTAGTAATTGACAGGGTAAAGTCGTATCCCCTAATCAAAAGTAATTACCTAAGTCCTCTAACTAAAGTAGATAGGGAAGTAGGGTCGAACTCCACAGGAAAACAAGTCTTTCTACTCCTAATTAATTATTATAATATAAATTATCAAAGTAATCAATTTTGTTGTAAATAAATTCTATACTACGAAAAAATAAGGTCGAAAGAAATAAAGTAGGGGAAAATCAAATATTAAAAGACCTAGGGCATAGGTTCACTAATAAACAATATTCCAGGGCAAATCATAATAAGCAATCGTCAAGCATTGATTAATCAGATTATAAAGGGCTTTCGCTACGTATTATAATCACAGAGTTAATTTATCGGTATTAAATCTCATCTGGCGAATCTCGACTTAACCATTTATAAATTAATCCGCTTATTGAAACTAAGCTTAAACATCAATTCTCATCTGTCGAATCTCGAATTAATATTGCTAAACTCATACAATTAAATCTGGCCAAACCTAATTGCATAGCATTAAATCAATCAATAGGAAATTAACCAATCATTGATAATCAACAATCACAAAATTACCCCTTCATATCATTTAGTGGATCCCCATAAACCCTAGAAATAAAACTACTCAAGCATCATCACAACTAAACTAATCAAATAAATAAAGCAAAGCATAATCAAAGAAGTAAATAAAATAGCTGAAATTAAAAGAGAAGAAATTGTTACCAAAAGAAATCTGGATTAATGAAAGTAATCAAGAACAAAAGTTGAGAGAGAATTTAAGAGAGAGAAATATCTTAAGTAGAGAGAGAAAATCTAAAGAAGAAGGTAATCCAAAATTACGTACATATTTCGTACTTAAACATTCCTCAAAACAAAAATTAAAACTAATCTAATCAGCTCTGAGAAAAACACGCGCCCGATCGGGCCCGCCTTTTTGCCTTGCCCGCTGCTGGTGTGCCGCGCCCGATCGAGCTTACGATCACTCGATCAGGCGCGCCTCTTCCTTAAGGGTTCTTATGCGCGCAGCCGCCCGATCGGGCGTATGCTTGCCTGATCGGGCCCGGTCTTCTTCTTCGAGGATTGGATTTCGATTGGGCTCAATTCCTCGGCCCAATCTAAGTTTCCTCATCGGGTCTTGATTAATCGATCCAATAGCCCCGGTATCTCATACCGAGATCTTAATCATCGGCTCTCACCGATCCTGGGCTTCAAGAGTGGCCGTGCCTTCTAGCTTCCGTAGTTGATCTATAAAAACCCGGGAAAATACTCCAAAAGTGCAATTTCCTGTAAAATACAACTAAAACTACGAAAACACTAGAAAACACAAATTAGTAATAAAAGTGGCTCTAAGGAGCCAAAAACACTACTAATTATGACCGCGCGGGACGGGGTAAAACGCTATATAAATTGGACATATCAAACTCCCCCAAGCCAAACCTTTGTTTGTCCCGAAGCAAAGAGCTCATCAACGAACATATAAAACATGCCTCATCCCAATAAACAAAATCAAGCACAAACTATTCAAGATAAATCTAATGAACATGCTTCAATGTCAATCAATCTCATACATCTAATTATCATTTATCCCCAACAATTGTCAAAGTAAAGCAAACCACTTGAGCATATAGAATTCAAGACTAGTGCTCACGCACTCAACTCTCATTCATGTGGCGAGTAAAAGATGTACTCGATCGCTCTCCAACCAACCCCTTTTATTTGTGAACAATGCCCACCCATCTCACACTCTCGTGTGTTTAAAACAATGAACGCTCAACCTACTAGTCGACTCGAAATATGTCAAATCATAACTTACATTGATAAACAACACTTTCACATTCACACATCTCTGTGCACAAAGGTCGGAAGGTCTTTAAAGCTTGTAATGTAAGGCTAGGGTAAAGGGTAGGATAAATTTGGGAATATGTGAGAGAAAAGCTATGCATTAAGGGAGCCAAATCCTAATAAACTCATGATCAAAATAAATGATGATCATTCATCTCCATCAACATAACTAACTCCAACAAGAATCCACCAAATACAACTCCAAACAATATAAACAATCCCAACACTTACAATTTTCACTCATAAAAATATGATAATGTAGAACTTGAGTGAAATACAAACTTTGAACTCATTCTTTTTCTTCTTTTTTTCAAACTTGAACTCTTTTTTTTTTTTTTTCTGAACAACTTTCAAATAGAACATTTGAACATATGAAACAACTTTTTTTCTTTGCTCTTTTTTTTTTTGTTTTTAACTCATATTGGAAATTTCAACTTTTTAACACAACATATCAATATTTTCCAATCATAAAATCAAAGAACAATCACTCTTCTTTTATTCCCACATTGTGCAAATAATGTGCACACCACAACTCCCTCACCTCACCAACTAATAGCTCCCCCAAGCCAAGCTTGGGACTAGTAACCAATGGGGCTCATATAGGCTTGTAATGTGGCTAAATAAACAATAAAAGGGCACAAGAAACAACATGGGTAACAAGAAAGGAACAAATGTATCTAATATCGTCTGAAGGCTTCCTAAGAGAACAAATGCCTTCGTCCTCCTCAATGTGCATAATATCAAGCTATATAAACATTACTAATAGTTGCAAACCAATACTCAAATTCATTGACATACCACGAACTATCACACATTCCTAACCAAATCAACTAGTCAAGCACTATATTCACAAATAGTTGGCAAAATTGACGCATGTTTAGGAATCCAAACAATTAAACTTCAAATCATGATAAAAAAATTCACAAAGCTCATTATCATATACCAAGAATCAAAACAATATTTTCTAAGTATGGGACATAGGGAAGCATGAATTATAATTCATTGGAACGTATTTTTGGATTTTTTTATTTTTTAAATTTTTTTTTTTGTATTTTTTCATAAGGGAAAGCAATAAAAACTACACTAGGAAAGCAATAAACAGAGAAGAGAGAAAGAAAGTTACCATATATACAATAAATCTTCCCCAAGCTAAATCAAGCAATGCCCTCATTGATTAGGAGGGTAGCTAGGAGAAGCTACTCCTCATCGTCATCCATCCTCTCATATCCTCCTCCATAGCTCGAGCCGGCACCACCCTGGCTCACCACCATAACCCAAACCACCTGCAAAGTAGTTATGGTTCACATTCCCCCCCATACCCCCAAAAGGAGCGTCACCCCCATATCCATGGACTGAAGAGTAGTCCACATAAGTACCATATGCACCGGGGTGAGAATACCCTCCTTAGGGGTATTGGAACCAATCAGGAACTAATGCCTCGGGGGGAATAGCCCCTCTGCGTGCATAATCATCGTACATGGGGTATAGACCCCTCCCGAGGTTCCTCTCTATGTGTCCTACCCGACCATCCAAGGTGCTTAACCTAGAATCTAGGTTTTGCATCATACCCTCAACTCTCCCTTGCCCCATCTCGATACGGTCCAATTGGCTCCTAAAAGCCGAAAAGTCATAAGGGGCATTGGGGTCGACGTTATAGTCGACCGTGGAAGTGGGTACGCCATAGGTGAAGGGTGGAGGTGGTGCGTAGTGTGGTGAATGGTGATGGGGGGAAT